TGGTTATTTGTTTTTCTGTGGGGTCAGTGGTAACATCCCTTCTTTATTTCTGATTGTGTTTATTTGAATCATCTCTCTTTTCTTCTCTATTAGTTTAGGTTGTGGCCTATCTGTCTTATTAATATTTTCAAAAAACCAACTCCTGAATTCACTGATCTTTTGAATGTTTTTTGGTGTCTCAGTCTCCTTCAGTTCAGCACTGATTTTGGTTATTTCTTGTCTTCTGGCTTGGTTTGTTCAGGCTTTTCTATTTCTTTTAGTTGTGATGTTAGGTTGTTAATTTTAGATCTTTCTAACTTTTTGATGTGAGTGTTTAGTGCTATAAATTTTCCTGTTAACACTGCCTTACCTGCTGTGTCCCAGAGATTCTGGTATGCTGTGTCTTTGGTCTCATTAGTTTCAAAGAACTTCTTGATTTCTACTTTAATTTCATTATTAACCCAAAAGTCACTCAGGAGCAGGTTGTTAGATTTCCATGTAATTGCATGGTTTTGAGCAAATTTTTTAGTCTTGATTTCTATTTTTACTGCACTGTGATCCAGGAGTGGGTTCAGTATGATTTTGGTTCTTTTGCGTTTACTCAGGATTGTTTTGTGTTCAATTTTGTGGTCAGTTTTAGAGTAGGTTCCATGCGATGATGAGAAGAATGTATATTCTGTTGTTTTCGGGTGGATAATTCTATAGAGGTCTATCAGATCCATGTGGTCCAATGTTAAGTTCACATCCTGAATATCTTTGTTAATTTTTGCCTAGGTGATCTGTCTACTATTGCCAGTGGAATATTGAAGTTTCCCACTATTATTGTGTGCAAGTCTTAGTCTCTTCATAGATCTCTAAGTACTTGCTTTACGAATCTGGGTGCTTCTGTGTTGGGTGCATATTTAGGATAGTTGGCTGTATGTTTAGGATAATTAAGTCTTGTTGTTGAACTGAATCCTTTACCGTAATGTAATGTTCTTGTCTTTTTGGTCTTTGTTGTCTGAAACTACTATTGCAACCTCTGCTTTCTTCTAATTTCTATTAGCCTGGTAGATTTTCCTCCATCTCTTTATTTTGAGCCTTTGGGTGTCATTGCATGTAAGATGAATCTCTTGAAGACAGCATACTACAGAGTCTTGCATTTTTTTTTAATCCAGCTTCCTATTCTGTGCCTTTTAAACAGGGCATTTAGCTCATTTACATTCAAGTTTAGTGTGTTGATATGTGCAGATTTGAACCTGTCATTGTGTTGTTAGCTGATTATTATGCCGGCTTGTTTGTTTTATAGTGTCACTGGTCTGTGTACTTAAGTGTGTTTTGTATTGGCTTATAATGGTCTTTCCTTTCCATATTTAGTGCTCCTTTCAAGATCTCCTGTGAGGTGGGTCTGGTGGTAACAAATTCCCTCAGCATTTGCTTATTGAAAAAGACCTTATTTCTCCTTCATTGAGGAAGCTGAGTTTGGTTGGATACTAAATTTTTGGTTGAAGATTTTTTTTCTTTAAGAATGTTGACTATAGGAGCCAAATCTCTTCTGGCTTGTAGAGTTTCTGCTGAGAGGACTGCTGTTAGCCTGAAGGGGTTCCCTTTGTAGGTGACCTGTCCTTTCTCTTTAGCTACCTTTAGCATTGTTTCTTTAATTTCAGTCTTGGTGAATCTGATGATTATGTGTCTTGGGGTTGATAGTCTTGTGTAAAATCTTGCAGGGGTTCTCTGTATTTCCTGATTTTGACTGTTGGCCTCTCTAGCAAGGTTGGGGAGGTTTTCATGGATGATATCCTGAAATATGTTTTCCAAGTTGTTTGCTTTCTCCCTGTCCCTTTCAGGGATGCCAGAGATTCATAGATTTAGCCTTTTACATAATTCCATATTTCTCAGAGGTTTTATTCATTCATTTTCATTATTTTCTTTTTTTAATTGTCTGACTGTACTATTTCAGAGAACCAGTCTTCAAGTTCTAAGATTCTTTCCTTGGCTTGGTCTATTCTGCAGTATACTTGTAAAATTCTTATAGTGTGTTTTTCAGCTGTATCAGATCAGTTAGGTTCTTTTTCATACTGGCTATTTCCTCTGTCAGCTCCTGTATTGTTTTATTGTGATTCTTAGTTTCCTTGGATTGGGTTTTGTTGCTCCACTGAATTTCAGTGGTCTTTGTTCTTATCCATATTCTGAATTCCATTTCTGTCACTTCAGCCAACTCAGTCTGTTTAAGAACCCTGTAGGAGAACTAATGTGGTTGTATGGAGAAAAGAAGACACTCTGGCCATTTGAGTTGCTGGAGCTCTTGCATTGGTTCTTTCTCATCTTTGCATGTGGGTGTTCCTTTAACTGCTGAGCTGCCTCTGATTGAAGTGGTCAGGCAGGGGCAGAGTGGTTGTGCTAAAGTCCCAGGTCAGGTAGCCCTGCCTAGTGAGGAGAAGTGAGGATGGGACCTGCATGGAGAACAGTCCAGCCACTTTTCTGTGAGGTGGGTGCTCTGTGCTTGGGGTCTGGACCAGCCTGTGCTCCCACGGATTCTTCAGAGTTGCTTCCCTAGGTGGAGGAGGCTCCTCTGGCTCCCTGTCACCCCAGGGTGGGCATCTGCCCTGCCTGACTTTTCTCCATTCTCTATGGGTTATTTTCCTGACGAATCCCAATGTGTGTTCTTGGGTGTTTCCGTTGAAGGTGATATATTTACTTGCCCCTTCTATTTCTTTCCCTCAGAGTGGCGCATACTAGCTGTTTCAAGTGCCATCTTTGTCAGACTCGCTGTACCATTTCAATCTTCCTAATTTCACTTAGGGAGATACCTGTTTTCAAAAACTGACTAGACAGAACATAATTATAGTACTTATTACATGGCTTTTGGAATTATTTGCTAGTTTTACTGACTGCTCCTATAGAAGATGGGGCCCTTAAAGCCTACAATTATGAATTATTAATATTGGTATGACCAATACAGACTGTTTTGAAGAAAACATAGTAGGGTCTTTTAGAAATAAGAAATGAACAATAAATAGACTCATAGAAAGTCAGATGGGCATAATACCTGGAAAGGGTACACCTGAACTGAATCAGAGATTGAGATTAGTGAGCAAAGAGCCCCACTGGGAATAATAACTTAAGTTGGTCAGAACCTGAAGAGCATGCAGTACATCCTTCCTGGAAAGCAGAAACAGTGTGGTAGAGCAGGAGTAGCATAGACTCCACTATCAGACAGACCTCAGTTCAAATCCTGGCTTTTCTGTGGTGTTATGAACTGAATTATGTGCCTCTGCAAATTCATGCATTGAAGCCCTAACTTCCAATGTGACTGTATTTGGAAATAAGGCCTTTAAGAAGATAATTAAGGTTAAATGAGGTTGTAAGGATGGGGCACTAATCCAATAAAACTGATGTCCTTATAAAGAAGAGGAAGAGACACAGAGACCTCTCTCCCCATCCCTCCCTGAACATGCACACACCCAAAGGAAAGGTCATGAGGACCCAGTAAGAAGTCAGCCTTCTGCAAGCAAAAACGAGAGGCCTCACCAGAACCCAACCTTGCTCATACATTGATCTTGGGCTTCCAGAAAATAAATGCCCATTTTTCAAACCACCTAATCTGTGGTATTTTGTTATTAATATATATAATATAATTATTATATAATTATACATTACTATTATATAATTATATAATTATATTATTTGTATTAGGCAACACAAGTTGACTAATACACTTGGTTAAATATTTGACCTTGAACAAGTTATTTAACCTCTGTGGGGTTTAATTGTGTTTACAAAGTAAAAAGAGAGAAAGAACAATAATAACAGTAATATTGTGGTAATCATTAATGCTCTTCACTGAATATTTCTGGTTCTTCTTCTTTGAGTAATTGGTAGAATTATACTTCCATTCTTCCTTGATTTCAGGTATGGCCATATAATTTGCTTTCACCAACAAACTATGGAAATCTTTAATTATATCACCACTTCTTCCTCTTACCCTAGAGACTGGGAATGTTTCAGATAGTAAAGTCTCTATCACCTGGGTCTCTGAGTGGGCATAATATGGAACAAAGCCCCCACTGACCTAAATATTACATGCAGCATCGGCAAGAAATAAGTCACTGAGAGTTGGAGGTTGTTATTGTAGCTCATTACATAGGTATACATAGATTGTTGAAATAATTAAATGAGATGTTTTAAAGTGTCTTTGTTGATTTTTAAGTCTTTGTGGCCTTGAAGCTGCTGGGTTGAAGAACGTTAAAAAGTTGCACATTTTCTAGTTTGAATATAGAGGTTTTTGGTAAGGCAATACCACTGTGAAGTTTATTACTAAGAGAAGTTCCAGTCTTAACAACTCTCAATTGATTGAGGCAGTGCTTATAGCCTTGTTGGAAAGAAAAGACAGAAAAATACATATATGTGTGTGTGTGTGTGTGTATTTATGAAGAGCAAGACAGTGTATACGAAAGTGCATACCTAAGAGTAGATATCTAGCACTGGCAATCAGTACTCAGCAAGATCTAACAAGGTGTGCATCGTGTGGCAAAGGGAGTTAGGAAAGAAAGAGGCCAGTTGGAGCTAGAGGAGATGGGGAAGGGAGTGTGAGAGAAATCTTGAAGATGGGTAGGAGATGAGCAGATGGTGAGTAGACAAGACTGAATTTCTAAAAACTGTAAAATACATCTAAAACATTTAAGTCTTGCTCTTCTTGTTGCCATCCTCTGATAAGAAGTTGTGTGATGGTCAGGTGTAGTGGCTCACGCCTATAATCTCAGTCCTTTGGGAGGCTGAGGCAGGAGGCTGGCTTGAGCCCAGGAGTTCAAGACCAGCCTGGGAAACATACTGAGACACCATCTGTACAAATTTATTTTTTTAATTAGCCAGGCATAGTGGTATGCTCCTGCAGTCCTTGCAACTTGGGAGGCCAAGGCGGGAGAATTTCTTGAGCCCTGTAGGGCAAGACAGCAGTGATCCATAACTATGCCACTGTACTCTTGTACTGCAGCCTGGAAGACAGAACGAGACCCTGTCTAAAAAAAAAAAAAAAAAGAGGCGCTGGGGGCGCCACACCAGGTGGACGTCTGATTTATGAAGCTCCCCATCCACCTATCTGAGTACCTGACTTCTCAGGACTGACTCCTACAGCATCAGATACACAGCTTCTCCTAGCATGACCTCGATCTGATCAGCAAACAAGAAAATTTGTCTCCCATAGTTCTGGGGCCTGTTCACCATCTACAACCACAGACCTGTCATGGCTGCCATTTCTACTTCCATCCCTGTAATTTCACAGCCCCAGTTCACAGCCATGAATGAACCACAGTGCTTCTACAACGAATCCATTGCCTTCTTTTATAACCGAAGTGGAAAGCATCTTGCCACAGAATGGAACACAGTCAGCAAGCTGGTGATGGGACTTGGAATCACTGTTTGTATCTTCATCATGTTGGCCAACCTACTGGTCATGGTGGCAATCTATGTCAACTGCCGCTTCCATTTTCCTATTTATTACCTAATGGCTAATCTGGCTGCTGCAGACTTCTTTGCTGGGTTGGCCTATTTCTATCTCATGTTCAACACAGGACCCAATACTTGGAGACTGACTGTTAGCATATGGTTCCTTCGTCAGGGCCTCACTGACACCAGCCTGATGGCATCTGTGGCCAACTTACTGGCTATTGCAATCGAGAGGCACATTACAGTTTTCCGCATGCAGTTCCACACACGGATGAGCAACCGGCGGGTAGTGGTGGTCATTGTGGTCATCTGGACTATGGCCATCGTTATGGGTGCCATACCCAGCGTGGGCTGGAACTGTATCTGTGATATTGAAAATTGTTCCAACATGGTACCCCTCTACAGCGACTCTTACTTAGTCTTATGGGTCATTTGCAACTTGGTGACCTTTGTGGTAATGGTGGTTCTCTATGCTCACATCTTTGGCTCTGTTCGCCAGAGGACTATGAGAATGTCTCAGCATAGTTCTGGACCCAGGCGGAATCGGGATACCATGATGAGTCTTCTGAAGACTGTGGTCATTGTGCTTGGGGCCTTTATCATCTGCTGGACTCCTGGATTGGCTTTGTTACTTCTAGACGTGTGCTGTCCACAGTGCGACGTACTGGCCTATGAGAAATTCTTCCTTCTCGTTGCTGAATTCAACTCTGCCATGAACCCCATCATTTACTCCTACTGTGACAAAAAAATGAGCGCCACCTTTAGGCAGATCCTCTGCTGCCAACTCGGTGAGAACCCCAGCGGCCCCATAGAAGGCTCAGACCGCTGGGCTTCCTCCCTCAAACACACCATCTTGGCTGGAGTTCACAGCAATGACTACTCTGTGGTTTAGAACGGAAACTGAGATGAGGAATCAGCCACTTTCTCTTGGAGGATAAACAGCCTCCCCCTATCCAATTGCCAGGGCAAGGTGGGGTGTGAGAGAGGAGAAAAGTCAACTCATGTACTTAAACACTAACCAATGACAGTATTTGTTCCTAGACCCCACAAGACTTGATATATATTGAAAATTAGCTTATGTGACAATCCTCATCTTGATCCCCATCCCTTCTGAAAGTAGGAAGTGGAGTTCTTGCATTGGAATTCAAGAACAGACTCTGGAGTGTCCATTTAGGCTACACTAACTAGACTTTAAAAAGATTTTGTGTAGTTTGTTGCAAGTCAGAATACATTCTGACTAGTTGAAACCACAACTTCATTTATACGCAGGCTTCCCTTTTTTATTTTTAAAGGATACGTTTCACTTAATAAACATGTTTATGCCTATCAGCATGTTTGTGATGGATGAGACTATGAACTGTTTTTAAACTACCATAATTCCATTTTTTCCCTTATATAGGAAAACTGTAAGCTGGAATTATCTTTTATTTAGAAAGCATGCATGTAATGTATATATGCAGTATGCCTTACTTAAAAAGATTAAAAGGATACTAATTTTAAATCTTCTAAGAAATAGAACCTAGACTTGAAAGCCAGTATTTGTTTAGGTTATGAAGCAAACAATGCTCTAATCACAATATTAACTGTTTAATTAAAATGTTGTAACAAGTATAAAACAGGGAATGTAAGTTTTTTACTAAAGTGATATGTATTCCAAAAAAGTCACAGAAGATGAAGCACTGTAATATTGTTCCCACACATTTAAAATACCCAAGTACATTCTAATTACCAGTATATCAGAGGAAAATTTTCGTAGTCTTTGTAAAATAATATACTCATCATAGAAAACTTGAAAAATGCAGAAGTGTATAAAAAAGCAAAAATGATTACTGATAATATCACAACCCAGAAGGAAGCACCTTTAAAAAGCAACCCCCATGTATGCCTATGTGTGTATTGTATACCTTTTTTACATAATTGAAATCATACTGCAAACAGTTTTATAAGTAGATCCTTTTCATGGCAAAATTGCCACATTTTCTTATGATACTAAAAATTTTACAAAAACATAAAAAAAGTTGCATTTGAATATGAAAAGCTGCATTTTTACTTTTCTTTCCAGGGAATATACTATCATCCAAAGTGCATGGCCTAGAACAGTTTTTGGCACAGAGTAAAGACTCAATAAATATTTAACTGAATGTCTGAATACATACTGGGCTTTATAGAAAGACGAACTTGGGTTCAAATCTCAGCTCTCTTATAATGTGTAACGTTTTAAAGGTTACTTATCGTCCCTATGGTTCGTCTTTATCTTAATAAATTGATACACTAGGGAATCCAACCACTTAACAAATAGATGCACTAGGGTTGTTATTCCGTAGTGTATCCATTTATAGTTTTGCATCTAAGTGTGGCATAGTGCTTCCACATGGTGGCATTTCAATAAATGGAATATCCAAGCATTTTTCTATTTGCAGCATAGCTTTCCTAATGATCACAGTTAATATTCTTCATGAAGTGGATACACATTCCTAACATGAAGGGCGTTCTCATATCATAGAGACTATGCCAAAGAACATTATGCCTATAGCTTCTTCCTATTTTTGGATATACTCCTTAGAATCAAGTACAAAGTTTAGACTCATTGAGTCAAGGGGAATGAACACATCTATGGGAAAATCAACATTTCAAAGGGGTCACACAGGAGATAGTCCCAGCTAGTGGCAGAGTGGAGCATAATTACAAGAGCCCACATTCAGCTGATGAATTCATATTGAATTAAAAGATCGGCTTACACATGTCAGCAAATTCTTTTTAGCAAAGTTGTTTTCTGGTGAAAACTCTTTCCCAGTTTTAAATTAATCTTCTGCCTTCCATCTTGCAGCTCCCCCACCACCTTCACCTCCCAAACTTACCATCATCACATCTGGGGTTTCTTCAATCCCTGATTAGTGAATGATATCGTCTGAGACTGGTGTGGCTGCTGGGTGTTGGTTAATCACTTCCTGTACAGTGTGTGGGCCCGTTCTTACTGCTCAGATGCCCTGGGTTTCTTTTTTGATGTGTTTATCGTGTAGGTCATGGAGGCTGATTCCAGTAAAACAGAAGAAGGTAAAATCCATAATGCTACAACAGTAGATGGTGTTTCTAAGAGTTAGATGTAAGCACATAGAAGTCTTCTTGGAAGCAAATGGTGTGTGTGTGTGTGTGTGTGTGTGTGTGTGTAAGCCTACGTGTTTATTTTATCTCAAGGTTTTTATTTTCTAGTGTATCCATTTATTCAACAGCACTTCATGTTAAAAAATAAACTCATAATCTAACTTCTCATATTTGTTGTCTTCCAGAGTTATTTAACTTGGCAAATGGCACCACCATCCATTCGACTGGACAAAACTTGAGAGCCACCCTTAACACCTCCTTTCCCTTCAGCACCTCTCTACCACCACATTCAATCCATCCAGGAATAGCAGGAGATAGAAGGAACACAGGGGAGGCAGGAGAGCAAGGTGTTGGCCTCATCCGCTACCTCCTGGCCGACTGAGGACAAATGTGTTAGATAAATCTGAGAACACAAAGAAGCACAGAGGTTCTATTCTGCAACCCAGTAAAGATGAAGAGGAGGAAGTTAATTCCCAGGTGCCTATACTGAGTTGACAGACAGGTGCCTCTCCCTGGTGGCTCCAGCACAGTCAGGCAGAGGCAAACCCTAAGGCTCCCTTTACTGAGTTGCCTTTGCTTCCAGTGAAGGAGAACCCAAGAGTCCAGCAAAGGAGTTCTTGACATGACAAGGGTGAAGGATCTGAGCACCCAGAGCCACTGAATGAAGCAGCCAAGCCAAAGCCAAATGGGAATCTCATCAGAGTTGTCTGATGCCAGAGAGAGCCAAGGTCAGGATGAGTCATCCAGAGGGTGCTCCCAAGCTCTGACCCAGCCGAGAGGGGCCAGATCATGTGTTACACTTCTTCAGAGGCCAGAGGAAACACAGGGCACAGGCACAAAGACCCTAAATCTTCCCCGTGGCCCTCATGAGGTTGCAGAAACCACCACCACCCCTCACACGCACATCTGGACACACCAGACGAAGATAAAACAGAAGGAGGAAGAATATTATCTGAAAGATTGAATCATTTATCCAAAAGGGATTAATGTAAATATACTTTAATATTGGGTTTAATATTGATTTAAGCCTTAATTTGAACACAAAATTTCTCTTTGCTAACCAGTTGGGTGTGGGCTTCAAAGGAAGGTTATATGAGGTGGAGGAAAAGTAAAGTATGTCTTCTCTGCATATCCAAGTTATAGTACAAAGTTAATACTGTGCATCTGACACACAGGAATAAAGAGACCATGAAATCAATTGCTCCAAATCTTAGCAGTTTAGAAAAACCAAGCAGATAGTTGCTGCAGGGTCAGATGGGTCACATTCCTAAAGCTCCCACAGATAGGGCTGACTGCAGCTTTCACAAATGTAGAAAACACAGGAGGAAATTCAAAGAGCCAACCAGGATGGTGGATTCCTAACTCTTGATCAGACCCACACTCTAAGTGGTAGCTCAGCTAGTCTGCCCATGGTGGGCACCAGGCAACTTTCATAGAGAGGGGATATGCCCACTCACGTCCCCTCCTGGGCAATACTTACAGGCATGTCAGCAAAAACACTTGTTTAAAATAAAGAGTCCACAATATATGATGAACCATACACATGTTTCAAAACTGTGAAGCATAAATATACTTATTGCAGGGAAAAAATAGTACACAATGAAAACAACCACATGGGTCTGGCATTCACTACCTGCTGCTTCCCACTAGGACAAACCAAAATGACTTTGACATTCTCTTCTCTGAATCTGTTCTGCAATCTCTTCTTCAGTAATCCTTGTGATTCTTCCATGGATCTCCTGCATGCTGTGCTGGGTCACATGCCACCACGATCCCAGCTGGTCCACAGGGCACATCCTGTCTCTGTATCAGGTCTGAAGCAGTAATTGTCAGTGAGCTCTCTCGGTCCTTCCTCCTGCAAAGTCTTCATCTTCCTAACTCTGACCATTACTGTTCTTGTTTCTAGTTGCACAACAAATGTAATGTGTAGGCTGTATTTCTCCTCCAGTGAAAATCCACTTGGTCAAGTGCCTGCTGCTAGTAAATCTAGCTAGTAAGGTTAGTAAACCTCTGCTCTTCATCATGCTGAAAGAGATGGCCTTTATAGCCCTCTTTAACTGCTGATGGGAATAAGACAACTTCTAGGCTGGCTGCCTCGACTTCCCCATCCCCATTATTCAGAAGGTTTTACTCTAAATCTTTCCTGCACCCCACTGTTAAGTGTCCTGCCAGATGCAGCAAGGGGACTTGCAATCACCCATTTGTGCACTCCATGGACTTTCCTGCTTAGTTCTGTAATTCCCTCTGCTTACGTAGATGAAACCCATTCTTATACTTGCACGCTTACCCATGTGCTTAGTGCTAGCAATTCTGAGCACTCAATATTGTCATGAGAAAATACCACAAGATTGCAACCCAACTCTCTGGACAGGCAGGCCTATCCTCCCCTCAATAGCATATGAGCTCCAGGAAAGTTAGAATCTAGAATGCTACATCCCAGTGTCTTGAACTGTGCCTGACATGTAGTAGGCACCCAATAGACATGGGTCGAACAGATGATTGAATTGATGAGCAAAAAAACAAGAGGCATGTTGCGTCTTCTGCGCACAAAATCCCACCTGCAAAGGAACCTATATACAAGTGTCTTTTTTTGTTAAAGGCCTCCCCTTACACCTCGCCAACCCCATACCCTTTTTCAATACACAATTTCCTGGGAAAAAAAATCTCTGCGTGATCTTTAAGCATTGCCCTTGTGCTGCCACCTTCTTTGCCAAAGGCAGGAAAAACTCGTCTATCAAGTTTCCCTTCATTTGAGCAGCGGCAACTATCTACAGCTTTGGAACTATGGCTCTCTCACCAGCAGCTGAGCACTTTGATCTTCATGCCATTCCACAAACTAAAGAGGCAGAAGCCAAACCGTAGTCTGGTCTCAGCTCTCCTAGCCTCAAGCTGCTTGAGGCAGAAGAAGCCAAAGGGCCAGGCATCCGTGAACATCTGGCAGAGGGGGCACAACCCTCTCTGGACTCCAGCAGCTCTCAGCAGTGCTCC